AGTATAAGAATATCTATACTTATATCCTGTATATGCAATATAAGTATATCTATACTTATAGCCTGTATATATAGTATAAGAATATCTATACTTGGAAAGCAGAACAGACTCTAGGGGAGTGGCTCTCAATCTTCCTAATGCCTCGACCCTTTAATACACTTCCTCAAGTGGTGGTGACCCCCCCAATCATATAATTATTTTCGTTGCTACTTCATCACTGTCATTGTGCTACTGTTATGAATTGGGCAACCCCTGTGAAAGGGTCATTCCACCCCCAAAGTGTTGCAACCCACAGGTTGAGAACCATTGCTCTAGAACATTCTGGAAGGTATTATATGAACATTATATGAAAGTAAACTACTTTCTGCCACAGCCAGTCTAGTATTTGGCCAGACCACAGGGACCCAGAGGTAGCCAAGTCGGCACCTCAAATCAGCCATCACAGCCCTCGGGGGCCAAAGTACACATTTGTGGGATGGGATCCTCAGGGTCCCTGCCCACTGCCACCCAGCAGGGAGGCATCGGGTTCAGCTGGTGCAGCCACTGGAGTGCTGAGCAAACCACAGACAACAATTGCCTCTGAGGGGTGTCAGTGCCCAGAGGACCTGCCAGGCCATGAAACCAGCTTTCCCAGTGTTAGTCTGTCAGGTACAGGGGGATGCTTATTGCCACGGCCCCATCGTTCTCCACAGAGTGGCCCTCAGCCAGCATCGTGGCCTGGGAACCGGGAGAAAGGCAGAAGCTTGGGCAACACAGACAGACGCGGGGGTGGGACCCGGTCACAGGTGGTTCTGAGGCCCCAGGCGACTTTGGGGCACATTCTCCAGGCCTGTCCTGACTAGGATGAGCTGGTGTCCATCACAGCTCCCCTCTGGGCCAAACAGGACCTGCAGATTCGTCCCCTGGGAAAGCACAAATGACGCTCCACTTACCTAATTGATTCCTCTCCTGGAAGCTGATGAAATCAGGCGATGGTTTTCCCCAGTTTCCGGGCCTTAAACCGAGCTGAACATCTGTACGGCCGCCAGGCCACACTCTTTAACTGTGAGCCCCCGTCATTAAATGTGGGTGATTAACTTACACATCAAAGACTGCTAATGAGCGCAGAGGCCGCAGAGGAGGGGCACTCTCTTTACTTTTGCAGCCCAGCTGTAACGGGGCCGTGCTGATCTGCCCAGACCAGGAAAGGGCAGCTCTGGGTAGAGGAGGACAAGTCCCTCACTAACCAGGACTCGCCGCCCTCACAAAAACCCCAGGTGTGCCTCCACGGAAGACTGCACACCTGAGTTTTCAATAACTGATTCCTCTCAACCAGATTGCCAGACCTTTCTGCGTAGGCACCTCTGGTTAGCAGCTGAGCACACTAACCCTTTGCACCCCTCTGGGGCTCACTCTGAAGCGACTGACCAGGGATCCACATCTTGCAGCCTCCCCATTGGCTCCTTCCTACCAATCCGGTGGGACCTCAGGCCTGCTGTCTCCTGAGTGGCCACGCCCACACCTTGAAGGATAATCCAGTGAAGGAAACCTGCCCTCTGCCACTGTCGGTCAGTCTCTAACCTGTAGGATGGACAGGAGGGAAATGCTGGACAGTACTCTTGTGCCTGACAGAAACCTTCATTTCCATGTGGTGTTTCCATTCGAATTGATTGAGTGCTCTTCTTAGGCAATTGTAAATACCTTTCAACTAGTAGTTCACCACACTTGCTTCCTCTCACACTCTGAACATATGTGCCAGTACATGTGCATGTGTGCGCGCGCGCACGCACACACACACACACACACACACACACACACACACAAAATCTTTTTTTTTAGGAAAGAAGTTTTCCCCATTAGCTATTTCACCCCTAAGTCCTACAGCTTGATCTGCTTGTACAAATTTAATATTATTGAATATCAAGTCCATGTCCAAAGTTCCCCAGCTATCTTTCATAGCTCTGGGTTTTCCCCTAATCCAGAATCTAGGCGCCTGGGTGGTATAGTAGGTTATGTATTAGGCTGCTAACCACAAGGTTAGAGGTTCTAAACCATCAACCATCTCATGGGAGAAAGCTGAGGCTTCCTGTTCCTGTGAAGATTCACAGCTTCACAAACCCACAGGACCCTGTCCTGTAGGGTCCCTGTCAGCCAGAGCTGACTTAATGGTAGTGTTTGGTTTGGTTTGGGAACCTAAAGTCGAGTCCAGGTTTATGCATAGTATTCAGTTCTTTTTTCTCTTTACCCACTGCCTTCAAACCCACTCTGACTGGCAGCCACCCTGGAGGACAGAGGAGAAGTGGCCCGGGAGGTTCCCAAAACTGCCATCTTTACTTTACCACACTGCCAGGGCTGTCTCCCTCCGAGTGGCTGGAGGGTTAGCATCCCAGCACATAACTTCTGTGTCTGCTCTGTGTTGCCTTAGTCTCTAGCTCCCTGGAACAGAGGTCTCAAACATTAATGTGTATAGGAATCACCTGGGGATCTTGTTAACACGCCAATTCAGACTCAGCAGGTCTCATGGGGCCAGAGTGGCTAACGAGCTCCCAGGTGCTGCTGCCGCTGGTGGTCCGGGAAGCACTTTGAGCAGCAGGGATGGAGCGAGTCCTCGCTGGTCATGCCCTTATTCCCTGGCTCCTGAGACAGACTGTCAGAAGTGTCTGGGCCTGTTTCTTACCGAATGAGAGTCGCCTGCTGGGTTCTTCTCACTGTGCTTCTGTGCCAATGACCGGGTTCTCTGTATTTGAACCTCATTCAACTGAAACTCACTGCCACCCAGTCCGTGCCGCTCAGAGCGACCCCCAGGACAGGGTAGAACTGTCCCTGTGGGCTTCCGAACTGTAACCCTGTCAGGAGTGAAACATCTTCGTCTACCTCCCTCCAAGCAACTGGTGGTTTCAAACTGTTGACCTTGCTCATGACAGTCCAACCTGAAACCACTACGCCCAGGGCCCCGGGACCTCAATTAGTTCCCCCCCTTAAACGTGTGTGGCATACACCCTTCTTAAGTGGGGCTGAGTACGTCACACTGCCTCAGGAACAGAACTGCTTGGCGTTCTCCTGACACCGGCAGCCTGCTCCTGAGGGCTGGGAGGTGGGCTCGAACTTGAAGCCCTGAGGATTGTCAGTAGTAACACACTTCACCACTGCGCCAGCAGGGCTCCCTGCACCACAAGAGGGCGCCCTGAATGCCAGTGTTCCCTCCAGCATTTCCAGCATCATGGATGTCACCTTTATCACTTGGGTCAGGTGATGGCCAGACCTTGCCATTGCGATGGTGAAAATGAAATAAGCTGTAGATCTAACGGCTGAACAGCCTGGGTGACACAGACACTGAAGTCCTGACAATGACGAGCTAAACGTTGGTGGTTCGAACCCCCCAAGGGGTGCCTCAAAGACAGGAGCAGGGTCTGCTCTGGAAGGTCACTGCTTTGGACGCCCTCAGAAGCAAGTCTACTCTGTCACGGCGGGAGGGGGGGGGCACGGGGCGGGGTCATGGAGAGTCAAAATAGACTTGCTAATCGAATCAGCCAGCCGACAAATATAGGAAGAAATGCTTGCCATCCGACTCGATGGCAACTCATAGTGACCCCTGTGGTTTCTGAGACTGTTAACTCTGTTTGTTTGTCTGTTTTCTTCAAATTAGTCTAGTTTAGTGGAACTTGTGTACAAGACTAGTTTACATCTTCTCAAGTGATTCTTCCTTTGCGTGTGTGAGTCTTCCTCATCTGTGCCCTTTTCCTGTTCTACCTGGTGAGATTTGGCTTTCCATTTGAGCATCTTTCCACCGTCTTTGCCAGTTTGACCCTCGTGACACCCACCTTGCTGGAGTGAACACCCACGCAGACAGTTGAATGTGGAGGACGTATTTCTCCTGTAAACCTGGGCTGCTTTGCCAGTCTGCTGGCCTCATACGATCTAACGTCACCATCCTGGCAGACAAACAGGGACCGGACGCTGTATTTCCGAATCCATTCCTCGGAAACAGCTCCCAGCGAACTCAGGAAGGTGCACTGAAATGCCTTTTCTGGGTGTTTGTTCCAAAGCCACAAAGGCATTGAACTTCATTTTGGCAGCTGCTCCTTCAACGATGGCCCCCAAAGGGGGTTACAAATCGTGTTAGACTATAACTCATCATGGGAGTAGAAAGCCTCACCTTTCTCCCATGGAGTGGCTGTTAGTTTTGAACTGCTGACCTTGTAGATTGTAGCCCAATTTGTAACTACTAGCCCATCGGGGGCTCTTCTACCATCATGAGTCATTCAAAAGAAGCAAGTCAAGCCTGCAGTGCGATATCATCTCACCCCACGTTCATAGCGCAGCTCAAAAAGGCAGCTCACAACTGCTGTTTGGGCAGGCTCGCAGAAACCTAGCTACACCACAAGCCAGTTACAGTCGCACTGCCACCCAGGAGCATGTGGAAGATGCACCTACCACAATAGTACCAAGAACAGAAAGAACAGAAACACTATTTGAGAAGAAACTGGTGTTTATTAAAGTGGGTAGCCTTAGGGAGAGCTTGTTTAGAGAAAAATGAAGTTCTAGACGGGAGGTTGGGGAGCATTTAAAGGGGCCATGTGAGCACTTGGGAGGGTCTCCGATGCTGAAGGCACTGTGCCCACGAGACCAGGCCTGCGGCACCTCACAGGAGCCCTTCCCTTGGTCTGATGCAGCTGCTGCCACCGGCTCTGACTCAGAGGTTCCAGGGGAATGAAGTGGGACAGGAGAGATTTCCATAAGGGAACAACATGTGAGTGTGCGCGTGCGTGTGCGTAGAATCCTTCTGGAAGGAAGACAGATGCAATGGGCAAAAACTAGACCAGGCTTTGTCAGCCAGGGCCCTTGTGATCCCACCTGCTCCAAACAGCTGTGCTGTTTGGAGAAAAGACCTGTGTGCTTGGGGGCAGGGGTGGGGTGGAGATAGAATCTCCTGGGTGCTGTTTAGAAAAAGGCTCTCTTTACCAACAACAAAACACCATAAGTTGTAGCATTTTCCAGTCTCTAGGGGCCCATTGGTGTGCTAAGTGCAGGTCAGCGGTTTGAAACCACCAGCCAGCTCTGAGGGGAAAAGATGAAGCTTTCCACTCCCGAGCCCTTCTACCCTACCCTGCAGAGTTGCAGTGAGTCAGAATCAACTCCGTGGCAGTGGGTGTGGGTTTGGTTTGTGGGGTAAATAGCATGCTCTTTGTCTAAATCACCAGAAAGCAGAAGGCAGAGGCCCACTTGATTCCGCACTGAGATCATGGGATTGCATTACATTTTCCCGTAGAAGTTTTTACAAAAGCAAGAGAAAATGGAGCTATTTTAAAAACGTTACAGGGAAAGAAGAAAACAGACATATAAAAGGTGGGGCGAGTTCTGGGTTGAGGGTGCCCATGTTTCTGCAGGGGGGAGATACTGAAAAGGACATGGGTCCTTTCCTCCCATCTAGGTTCACCTGGCCACATGGCCAATCCGCAAAACAGGACAGTCAGGCCAGAATGGTGGGAGAGGGTGGGCAGTTTCTTGACACACAGAGTGGCCCCCACTGAGAGGGAGTGCCCAGACCCACCTCTACAGAAAGAAGGGCTAGTGACCCCTGGGGAACAGGCATGGACAAGAGGGGTCTGGGGCCTGGCACCTCCCTTGGCTGGTCCCCTGTCTACACGGTCACCATGATCTGCTCCAGAGGTTTGCGTCTGAGGTCCGGCACCGTGGCCTCTTTGCTGGCGTAGCCCACAGGGAGCAGCATCAGGAGCTTTTCATTGGTGGGGCGGCTCAGCAGCACCCTCAGCCGAGGCCCACAGTTGAGAGGCGTGGTCGTGACCGTCACCAAGCCTGCATTCTAAACAGAGGGACGGTAAGCCTGTTAGATTCATGGTGGGAACCACCGCTGGCTTCTCGCGCACCCCCTGAGAAACCCGCCAGCTCCACCCTTTCCCTGATTCAGAGAGTGGAGCCCTTTGGTCCTGGAGGCTAGGCACTGATTTCCTAACCATCAGGCTGGCAGATCGAGCCCACTAGCCGCTTCTGGGAGAAAAGATGAGGTTGTCTGCTCCCGTCACAGAAATGCAAAAAGGGCAGTTGGGTTCTGTCCTGCAGGGTTGCTATGAGACGGAATCAACTCGACGGTAGACCTGTGGCCTACGGCATGGATGGAATACAGCAAGCTCTGTGGACTGACAAAAAGGACAAGCAGATCTGTCTTGGAGGAAGTATGGCCAGAATGCTCCTGAGAGGCAAGGACGTGCTTTGCACATGTTGTCAGGAGAGACAGAATGCCCTGGAGAGGGGCACCATGCTGGTAAGGTATGTACGTGACAAAGAGGAAGACCCTGCCCAAGATGGATTGGCACGGTGATGACATCAAGGGGCTCAAACACAGCAGTGAGGGCCTGGCACTGGGTCGGGCAGTGTTTCATTCTACTGTGCCCAGACAGGGCTGCCCCCAGTCGGCAGCTAACAACAGCTTGGATTGAACTGTGTCCCCCCAAAGGTTCTACTTTATGCTACTGGCCTAACCCGTAACCCCAAACTCTAAACTCAGTGCCATCCAGTGGATCCTGACTCACAGCAACCCAGCAGGACAGGGTAGAACTGCCCTTGAGGGTTTCTGAAAGTGTAACTCCTGACAAGAGTAGAAAGCCCCATCTCTCGAGCGGAGCGGCTGGTGGTTTTGAACCGTTGACCTGGCGGTTTGCAGTCAAACACATAACCCACTTGTGGCTCCCTGTTTGGAAATAGGGGGTTCCTTTTGTCATGTTAACGATGTCGTACCTGATTAAGGAGGATCCTAGACCTGGTCCCTTCCCAGGGGTGTCTTATTAAGAGAGAGGAAGAACCTGGCCTACACAGAGGGGAGCGAGACCCCAGGAGATGACATAAGCAGTCATGTGTCCAGTTCCAGGAGCACCGAGGACTGCTGACAGCTACTGGATGCAGAAAGAGACAACAGGGGCCTTCCCCGAGAGCTAGTGTCCCAGGCTTCTCAGCTCCTGATTGCGGAGAAAACAAATGTCTGTTCTTTAAATCCGCCCCCTGATGCTATTTGTCTTGTGCCAGCCTGAAGAATTGAGCGAGGCAGTGCGTGTCCTGACTCTTCCTACCACCCTGATCCCTCAGTCGGCCCTCAACCTGTCCAAACCGGGCTTGATGAAGCTTTTTCTTTCCTGCCTCACAGCGCATGACCTGCACTAAGCCTTAGGGAACGCTAGAGGACAGCAAACTCAACAGGAAAGTGGGTCCCAAGCACTCATGGAACCCTAGGTGATCCCCTTTAGCTGCTCAGAGATTCCCTTACCTGCTTTTAGATCGGGAGCGAAATAAAACGCCAACTCCACTACATTCCTTTTTTTGTCTAACAGTGAATATATTTTGTGCGGGTCTTTTCACCATACAAAGTTGTCTTCGAGAGAGGAAGTGCACAACTTTTTGGAATCCACCGCCCCTGGAAGAGTGACCTCACACTGCTACAGCCTTATTGGCTGTATTTTATGCTTACTTTTCTCTCGGTCTCTCCCTCTCTGCGCTCTGGTGGCGAAGTGGTTATGTACTGGGCAGCTAACCGCCAGGGCAGCAGTTCAAAACCCCCAGCAGCTCCATGGGAGCTCTTCCTATAAATAGTGACAGTCTCAGAAACACACTGGGGGTTGCTCTGAGTGGAAATCGATTGGATGGCAGTGGGTGCGTCCAAGTGGGCTTCTCTCTTCCCGCCTCCGTAGAATCCACTCCCCACCATAACGTTCTGCCCCCAGGATCTGCCACGCAGAAGCAGCCTCTGTCCAGCCAAGTCTGACTCACGGCGGCCCCGCGTGGGAGAGCACAGGGCTGTGTTCCACTGATTTGTCAATGGCTGGCTGCTCGAAAAGAGCCCACCAGGCATTTCTTCTGACTCACCCTGACAACCTTTTGGGTAGCAGCCGGGCACATTAAAGATTTGTACCACCCAGGGACGGCACCACGTGGAAGGAGCTCATGCACAAAGTCTTTGCCAGCTGATGAACCAGTGTGGAAGACCGACCTCCCTCCTAGCCTTCTCATGCTTAGCGTTGACCTCACTACCGAAAACATTCTAAACACGGGAAGATGCTTCTATTGCGACTCAGCTTCTCAGGAAAGGATCTCAAGGGCAGACGTCTCCGAGTTATCTCGAATATTCTGTTGGCTGAGCAAACTCACTGCAGTAAGTCCATTCTGATGCATAGCGACCCTATGGGACAGGGTGGAACTGCCCCTGTGGGTTTGCGAGACTGTAACTGCTCACGGGTGTAGAAAGCCTCGTCTTCCTCCCAAGGAGAAGCTGGTGGTTTTGAACTGCTGACCTTACATGTAACCCACCATGTAACCCACCACCCCACCAGGGCGCCTTTGTCTGCTCAGAAGCCAACAGTAGACACATGGGGGACACAGTCGGTCCTTAGAGTATTCAGGGTCTGCTGTCTCTGTGGGTGTCTGCCAGAACCTCACAGCTTCAGGTGGCTGCCTAGGAAGACAGGAGCAAGGCCAGTGTTCCTGCATAAGAGATGATGCTGGAAGTCAACTTGCCGTCCGTCACACACCAATTCAGGCTTCCGGAGGCTGCTGGACACCAAGTTCCCTTACTGGAGAACGCACCTTTGAGCGCCATCATTTCCAAAGGTCCTTGTACCCAAAGTCCAACAGCCATGTTTGACTAAGGCCACCCTGTCCCCAAGTTCCCTTCTCTCCCTGGGGCCTGTGGGGGGTGGGAGGTGGGGTGGACAGGACTCTTACCTGCAGCGCAGCCAGGAGGAGGCCGCACGAGATGGAGACACTGATCTCGTTGTAGTAGTGAACTTTCTTTTTGCCGGTTTCAACAAAGCCATGCACCTGCTTGAAGATGAGAATCAAAACAGGAGCTGTGTCCAAGTACTCTTTAATCCAGTTGGTTCTGGGGAGGGGAAAAAAACAAGAACAAGGAGATTCAGGGGCCTCGTTTGCTCTTAGTGGCCTTGATCTTGCTCTGTCAGCATATCCGTGTTGAAGTGAAAACACACGTTTCCTTTCTGTGTTTTTAATCTTTAAAGAGAAGCGTGTGTGTTTTGTTCGGCTAGTTCTGCCCAAGGTCATTCGATTCCATAAGCAGGGGCTTCGAGGGATAGCTCTGCTCTTTGATGCCCCAGGTCGGCTTTGACTCCTGACAACCCTGGGACAGCCCAGCAAAACTCGGCCCGGTCCCGTCACCAGCCCCGGGGTGGTTGGCCTGGGTGAGCCCCCGGCAGAGGAGGAAGGCTTGTCTGCCGTCACTCTATCCAATCCTATTGTCATCATCCAGGGCGTTTTCATCGGCTCATTTTCAGAGGTACGTCCCCAGGCCTTTCTTCCCCGGCTTTCTTATTCTGGGCTCCCTGCTGAAGCCTGTCTACCTGGGTAAACGTGCTGGTATTTCAGATTCTGCCGGGCAAAGCTTCCAGCATCAATGCGGCACACCAAACACCCAAGGAGGGCAAACAGGCACACGGGTGATGTGGCAAGGCATTTGAAGCACTGGCTGATAGAAAGCTGGCTCCTATAGTCCAGGAAGCTGTAGGTCAAAGTCAGTGAAGGTTGTCTGTCAACTTGGCTGGACCAGGATTCTCCAAGGTTTGGCAGTTAAAGTGGATGCCTAGCTAGACACCCTTTTGAGGTCTCCTGGAGGGGGTGTGACCTGCTTCAAGTAACTGTGGACACTGTGGGAAAGAAGGTTTGCTTTGTGCTGCATCTGAATCCTGAGTCTGGCTCGACCTCCAGTTGGATCTTTGGACTGAAAGTGACCACCTGCCGTGTTGCCTGCAGACCCTGGGAGCCATCTGTGGCCTGCCAACCTCATATCCATCTGTCTCTGCAGCCCAAGCCTGTGGCCCCTGGTGCTGCTCTTTGGCACACCAGCCCCCACAGCTGCGACAGTCAGGAGAAGCCTCCTCCCGCCTGATGTCTGACTTACGTACGAGTCTGCCCAGACTTGGAAACTGCCCACTTAGACAACTGTGTGAACCCTCTGTTTTTGATATCAACTTATTCCTCTGTATATACATAAGGGGAGCATCGGTGGCATAGAGGTTGTGCTTCGGGCTGAGATCCACCAGGTCCTCAGTTTGAAACCAGCAGCTGCCCCAAGGGAGAAAGACGGCTTTGACGTCTGTGAAGAATTACAGTCTCAGAAACTTACAGGGGCAGTTCGATCCTGTCCGACAGGTTGTCATGGCAGTGAATTGAGTTGTTATATGTGTGTGTGTGTGTGTGCGTGCACGTGTGTGCGTGTGTGCGCGCGTGTGCGCATGTGTGTGTGCGCGCATGTGTGTGTGCGCGCGGGTGTGTATGTGTGCGTGCATGTGTGTGTGCATGCATGTGTGCATGTGTGTGCGTGTGTGCGCGTGTGCGCATGTGTGTGTGCATGCGTGTGTGCGCGTGTGTGTGCGCGTGCGTGCATGTGTGCGTGCATGCATGTGTGCGTGTGTGCGTGTGTGTATGTGTGTGCATGTGTGTGTGCGTGCGTGTGTGTGTGTGTGTGTGTGTGTGTACGTGTCATTGGTTGCGTTTCTTTAGAGAACAATGTTCAGCAAATGAGACTTGGTGAGTGTCATGAAAGAAACACGAACCAAGAGTGCTTCAAAATGTTCTCCATGACGTCGAGTCAATTGCGTAGTGACCATGCAGGACAACGTAGAACGGTCCCTGCGCGTGTCTGCGGGGCTAACTCTTCACAGGGGCAGAAAGTCTCGTCTTTCGCCCATGGAGGGCCCGCTAGGTTCAAACCACTGATCTAACAGTTAGCAGCTCAACACGTAGCCACTCTATCGCCAAGGCTCCTTCCTAAGCACTCTTGGCCCCCCCACAAGGGAACACTTAGTTTGGAGGAAGAAGACCTTTGGTGAGATGGATTGACACATGACTGCAACTACAGACTCAAACATCACAAGCACTGTGAGGGTGGCGCCGCACCAGGTGACGTTACGTTCTGCTCTACGTAGGACGGCTGTGGGTGGGACTGACGCGCCAGCACCTAATGACAACAGAGAAGGCCGGAAGGAAGTATTCTAGAAGTGGCCTTTCGGTCGGGCATTGAAGCTCAGAGGGAGAAAGGGAACCGAGGGAACATCCCAGGCAGACAGACAGGCTGCATAGAGGCAGGGCAGGAAGGAATGGGCAGGGCAGGGCATGTCCAGAAGCCATAGACAGGAAGGTGACTGTGAGTGGCCATGTAGGTGACATACAGCTTTGGAGGGTTCCTGGGCCTGGTTTGATAAGTGGTGGAGAGAGGCAGGCGTCACACAGCAGATCCCTTTCAGAGAGAGGCGGAGTGCTGTAGGGGAGGGTGATGTTACCAAGGGGGGGTGACCACTCCTAAGTCAAGTACCAACTCTCAGGTCCTTTTGTGCCTGACATTCCACTCAGCACAGGCTCTTGTGCTCATCCGTGTTGTAACATGTCTCCGAACTTCATTTTGAATTACGGTTGAACAAAAGCGAACTTTTTAACCCCTTATCAAAACCAAGAGACTGCAGTCATAGTTCATGTTAGAAAGTTTCACACCCCTCAATCTACTACCTGTCGTACCTCAGTTTCTTCACATCAGTCACCCATCGGTTCCCCATTCTCCTCGTGTAGTTTATCTCCTCCTCTTCCTCAATGATCTCCCGGATCCTGTGCTTCACCTCTGGGTCCTTCACAACCACAAAGGTCCAAGGCTCGGTGTGGGCGCCACTTGGGGAGGTTCCTGTCACCCAGTAAACGACAATCAGAAGATTGAACGTGCAGGAGAAGAGGGCAATGCTGAGGATGAATTTTCAGTCCCTTCAGATGCCCATGGGACTTTGACTTTGACTGAGGAAGACAAGAGAGGAGTCCATGCATTTGAGTGTGGCATTGGCGGAATGCTGGAAGTCCCAAGGACTGTCAAAAGAGCAAGCAACTCTGTCTCGGAAGAAGCACAGCCAGAATGCATCTTAGGGATGAGAATGGCTAGACCTCATCTCACGTACTTTGGACATGGGATCAGGAGACACGTTCCGGAGAAGGACATCATGATTGGGAAAGTGGAGGGGTGGCGAGAAAGAAGAAGGCCTTCCACAAGATGGATTGGCCCCGCGGCTGCAACAACGGGCCCAGCTATAACCATTGTGAGGATGGCACCGGGCCGGGCAGCGTGTCCTTCTGTTGAACACAGGGTTGGTCTGCGTTGGCACCAACTGCAAGGCCCCTAACACCAACAAGTAAGAAGATAGGCAAGAATCCACGCTCGCTCAAAATGGAATTAGAAACATCTGGAAAGCAAAGTGCTGGGCAGCTGCTGCCATCCTGAAACATTCACTGCTGCCAGCTCTGCCGGCTCCACCTTTGGTCATCAGGTCACTGAAAGCTCGCCGACATGAAGGCATCCTAGTGGTTAAGCTCTCTGCCAGGCTGTCTCAAAACCGGAAAATGGAGGTTAAGGCCAGTAGCTCAACAGCTACAGGAATGTATCAAGGCTTTGGCGTAGGGGTTATGAATCGGGCTACTCACCACAGGGTCAGCAGTTCAAAATCATCAGCTACTCCTCAGGAGAAAGACGGGACTTTCGACTTCCATGAAGAGTTACAGTCTTGAAAATCCCCAGGGGCAGTTCTACTCTGTCCTAGAGGGTCACTATGAGTCACCACCAACTCCGTGGTAGTGAATTTGCTGGCTGTTTGTCTAATGAGATGGGGGAAGATGCTGGCAGGAGGGCATGGTGGCCACTCTGGGGCTCAAAAGAGGGATTCTCACAACTATCATTCTCCAAAATGGCATTTGTTTGGGAAGTCTCAAAAAAGGGCCCAATCACTACACTTATTGGAAATGGCAAAATTTAAATCCTCAAACAGTCCTTAAAAATGCTTTTGGAGGGGGAAAAATCACATAACTAACATACAAATTGTTTAGTGTCGCCTGCCCAATCTCTGAATGGAACACTGGGGAGTCTCACTGGGATGAGAGAAAGCTCTTTGCCTGGACACTAAATCCACACACCGTGTCTGCCCCTCCAGAGCCCTAGGCTAGCCTGGAGTCACTCTGCGTCTGGAGACAAAGCCTCACAGGACACCAGACTCCCCAGGGACGCAGGTCCCTTTGAGCCTCTGACCAAGTATCCCCCTTCGGTCCACTGCTCCTAGGGATGGGCCACCATGAGCACTTGTGGGGCACTTCAGAATCAGTGCTTTCTTTCTTCCTCGTGAGAAATGAGGGGGGTAGGTCAGTAAGTTCTACCTGGGACATGAGTCAGGGCTGCAGGCTCCTCTTGGGGTTCTTGTTTGCACAAGCCACCGCCTATCTTCGGGAGAGTGTGACCCGCTCATGAAATGCAAGTTAAACATGGACCACGGGGACTTGCACTTACTTCTTGACAGAGTGATTCCAGCTCACTACATAGTTGGATCTCTCAACTTACCAACCGGACCATGTACCTCCCCCAGGTTTCAATGATGACAAACTTACCTGAACCACACACACACACACACACACACACACACACACACACACACACACACACACACAGAGAGCATTTAGTTAGTACTATTACTTAGGCAAAAGGCTCAGGGACCTAATGTATTTGTATTCTTAAACAAAAGGTTTGAGCCCTGCTTTATTAGGTTGTACAATGGACATAGGATGATTCCTACAAATGAAATTAAAAGGTGATTGATAGAGTCATAAGGGAGCCCTGTGGGCCCGGTGGTTAAAGCACTTGGCCATTAACCAAAAGATCAGCTGTTTGGACCCCTTAGTTATTCCAGGGGTGGAGGATGTGGCTGGACATCTGCTTCCGTAAAGATTACAGCCTTGGAGGCTCTCCCTGTGGGCACATCGACTGTCCAACGGGATCACTGGGAGTCAGAACCATGACACAACAGAGGTTTGCCTCTGCTCACAGTAATCCATTTCCAATTAGAGAAGATTCTTAAATAGGATGCTGTTTTCTTACATCTCTTTTCCCTTTTCTGTAACTCTCTCTCTTTCTCTTTTTTCCCTTTGTGGGCAATAGGAATTTACATTGAAAATGAATTTGGGTTTACTTTGTAAATTTACATGAATAAATGTTGCTAGTTAACTAGACTACTGTACTATCATGTATAATATATGGCAAATGGTTACAGGAAAAGAAGTGTGTATATTTCTTTAAGTGTGAACATATGAATTATGTAATGTGTGTGTGTGTGAAAGAGAATGAGAATTTTAAGGAGGGAGGAGAAAGCCAGCTTATCCTCCAATGGGGGATAGTATGTTCAGAAATGTTACTTTTTACGACCAGTTTATAAAGTCGGATACTCTCAGATGTCTTGTACTGTTGTCACCAATGCTCCAGAGAGGTTTGCGGTGGGACAAGTGGAGGAAGCGGCAGTGGGTGTGTCGGGGCTTAGGCAATGTGCAGATGCCCAGACCAATTGGCTGCCATCCAGTCAGTGCCGGCTCACAGTGACTCTCTGCAGATGGCACAAATAAGCATGGCCCTCCGAGTCTTATCCATCCTGTTTGAACTTCAATAGATAGGTCTCCAGTATTGTCACATCAGTGATGCTGCTAGCATTCTCGATGTGGCATTACATCCCCCTGTGCGCCATCACAAACCTGCTGCTCTGATGACATTCTCAATGACTTCCATTGGGATTTGCTCGTTACTTAGGAACCTCACGGACCGCCTCTGATTGAGAAGTGCATAAAACTCCTGGGATCTCTTGACCATCTCTTCCTCGGAATACCGGGTGGGGCAGAAAGGAATGTGGTCCACAGTCTCTTCCGATTGGTGCCATTCATCAGCATCTGTAAACAACAAGGTCAGAAGATCTCTCTCTTAGCCCTTAGACAGACATCAAGCTGGAGGACGCGAAGCTCTTACAGATGTCTGAAGGGTTATGAGCCCCAAAGACAGGAAGACAAGATGAGAAATAAGGGATTCCTGACCTCTGGTTTTAACCTTCAAACTCTAGCCTGGTTATAAAGCAAGAAAAAAAGCCAAGGAATTCCCCCCACACAATGCTAAGGAATAAAAATTTCTACTAATGGTGGCTATTTGAAACAATCACCCATTGGCTGAAAACCACTAAGAGTGGTGAATAATGGATTTGTTGAGGTCATTAAAAAATCAGCCAAGAGCTGATAACATCGTAAGAAACCCCCCAATCAAAACTGAAAGAAAATGTGAACCCACAGAGCTAAATCTTTACAGAAACTGCATTTTCCTTGATCAGGTTTGCCAATCCCTACAAATCTCAATTTCCATTTTTATGTCTTCGGGTATCAAAGGGAGCAAAAATAAGTCCATGCCCACATCAAATGGGAAGTCTAACAGCAAACCCTCCCACAATAAACCAAGACCCTAATAGTTATGGCCTCAGGGGAACAGCGAATCAGAAATGAATTAGCCCCACAATAGTCTTTCAGGTGGAACATATATCTCGTCAGTGGGTTCTGGGAACTTCAAACTTAAACTTAGAATAAGGCCGTGCTGCTAGAAATACCCCAGTTGCCGAGCAGAAGCAAATGCCAGCATGCAAATAACTTTGAAGTGTAACTGGCAGCGATCTACTAAGGCAAACCACGCACACAAAGAAACAAAATAATCTGAGGAGGAAACGGCAAGATCTCACTTTCTAAAAACAGAAACATACACAGAGATGTCAAAGAAGGGGGCTGTCAGACTGAGATGATCAAACAACGCTGATGACTGTGCTTCAAGGACTGGGAAGGGCCTACTGAAATACAGCTGCAAGAAACAGAAAAGGATAAGCGACACAGCAAATACAAACAAAATTGAACATCTAGAAAATAAAAGAATGAAAAATGTAAAAGGTACTTTGATCAAAATTCTACAGAAGAATCCTGATCACGAGGGGGGAAATGTAGACAGTTCAAAATCTGGTGCAGTCTAGTCTTTCTGGGGCCCTGGAGGGTAGATGAACCCTGGAACTATTGCTGTGAGATCATCTTTAAACCTTAAGCAAAACACATTCCCTGAAGTTTTCTTAAAATCAAACAACAGCCGAGTTTAACTAGTAATGAAGGTGTGTGTGAGCACGTTCCCTATGGGAGGCAGGGAGCGGATGTCAGGAGGAAGGACAGCTCCGGAAAGGAAACCAGAATGGCCAAGCAACTCAAGGAATGGACTCAGGGTCACTACATTGTACATGAAGATATTGTTAAGCTGGTGTGCATTTTACTATATATGTATTCTAGCAACAACAAAATAAATAAAATGTTGGCACTGAAACAAAGGTTGGGGTTAGTAGTATATTGTTGTTGTTGTTGTTGTATGAGGTCGAGACAATTCCGACTCAAGGCCACACAGTATGGCAGAGTAGAGCTGCCCCACAGGATTTCCCAGGTGATCATCTTAACGGGAGCAGATCTCCCAATGAGTGGCTCGTGGGTTTGAACTGCCAACCTTTCAATTAGCTGCAGACAAAAACTAAGAGTTAATGAACTGGAAGAGGAGCCATAGGAAAACATCTAGAATGGGGGCAAGGAGAGATCAAAAGATGGAAAGTACAGAAGAAAGAGTGGTAAAAAACAGAAACAAGAAAGTCTAATATACATTTGTTTAGTGTCCTGAAAGAAGATGAGAAAGAATTTGGCAGAGGTAATATGTGAAGAGACGCTGGATGAGAAATTCTCAGAACAGATAAAAACAAAGCAAAACAAAAACCACATACACAGATCCCAAGGCACTGTGAATTCTAAGCAGCATAAGAAAAATTTGCACACGCCTCTCATCATGAAGGAGCCTATGGTGTAGTGGTTATGAGTTCAGCTGTGATCTGCAGGTGTAGTGGTTACATAATTCATGTCAACTTGATAAATATAGTGAAGGGGTGGAGTTCAGCCTGGCAGCATTTCAAGTCACAGCCTGATGATGCCTCCTGGTAGGCATGACCTTCTCATGAGGATTCTGGGAACTTCCTCTATTTCTCCCTGGAGGAGGGCCACACGCTGTCTCTGCTTCACCTGTTGACAAGTGACATGGAGCCATGTTGATGGCAGCCAGAGCCCTGGGGATGCGTCCACCATCATTGGATCCACAAGACTTTGCACCCACTGGCCTGTGATCATCCTACATTTTGCATCATTGCATGTGACTTTGTGAGTCTGAAGAGTGATTTATGGACTAGTGTCAGACTTAATGGGCTACTATTGGACTTATGGATTTGATCTGGACTGGGCTGGGATGTTTTCTTAATATAAAATTATCCTTTGATATAAAACTCTTTCTTATACATATATGAGTGTCCCTGGATTTGTTTCTCTAGCTAACCTGGTCTAACACAGCAAGGTTAGCGGTTCAAAACCACCAGGCACTCTGTGGGAGAAAAATGGGCTTTCTACTCCGGTAAATAGTTACAGTCTGTGAAACCCACAGGACAGTTCTACCCTGTCCTATAGCATCACTGTAAGCTGGCATCAATTCAATGGCAGCATGTTTTTGTTTGTTTGTTTGTTTATAATAAACCTTAATGTATTAAAGGCAGCCAGAGGAAAAAAGGTTATCTTCAGCAGTACAACAGTAAGAATAAAAACAGATTTTTCATAACAATAAGAATAATTGCATTGTATATAAGTGGAATAAAGTATCCTGATACAGACCAATGATTTTTTTTTAATTGAAATAGGCTGTTTATATAAGAGGCACTTCTCAATCATAAGAACACAGAAAGGTCGAAAGTAAAAGGATGACAAATGATATACTGTGTTTCATGTTAACTAGACGTAATATCAAATGAGAGAAATAGTAAGGGAAAAGGCATAATCAATGATGGGGGGGTTCCTTCATTATAATAAAATATTTTAATTTATACAGAAGACAATTTAATATGCATATGCATTTATATGATAGACCCTCAAGGCAGACTTCAAGGAAGAAATGGCAATATCCACCACCATCGCAGAAGTTCTGAATCCGCCTCTCTCAGTAAGGAGAGAGTCAGCAGGAAATACATCCATTAGGATACAGAGGGCTACAGAAGGCGTTTGAGACAGCCACCAAAGAAACACACAGAGAGTATTACATCAAACTACTGCAAATGATACCTTCTTGTTAAGGACCCTCAAAATGTTTCTACTAAGTGGCCATACATAGGGCCCCCAAATGGGAGCAACAAAGATCTCAACAGAAACACGTTTCACAACTTTGACTGAACTCAAACTTAAATTATTGAAAGGGGAGGGTTTGGGCTGGAGAAAATAGAAAGTGTGCTAGTCTGGGACTCGTCCGAGGTTTTTAGTGGTGGTTAAACTTCATCAGCAACTGGAAACGAGAAGGGAAAAAAATATCAAAAGGAAACCAGTAGAGAAAATAGACACTGGAGTCAAATGGCGTGAACTGGATTTCTCAGGGAACAGTGAAGCAGACAAAGAAAGCTCCAACCAGAAGACCGCCAGGCCCCGGACAATTAAAAATCCAGTGGGCTCTGTCTGTACTAACCCTGCCCTGATACCTTTCCGACTAGTGGGAATTGGTATGAGAAACCAGAACGAGGCGGCTCCTATTAAGATAAGATCAGACGCTCAGAGACTAGGATGAAATTAATTCTGAAAATGTTCAGCACTCACTTGGCTAAAGTAACAAATTGGGTTTTTCTGAAACCATTGAAATCTTTCTGCAAGCTTATGTATATGTATAAGTCCTACATACGGTGCGAAGTGAAGGGTGTCTTTAGGAACTGACTATAATGCTGTCATAGGGCTTGCTCGTTGACAAGCCCCCAAGCCCAATGGATTCTTGCCTGATAGGAGTACATCCCTGCCTTGAACTGTAGGACAGAGAACCATCATCTGCTACATTCTCCTTGGAATAAATGCAAACCCACTATCATGGCTCAGCTTAGCCCCCACTTGGTTGTAATGGTTGTGATTGTGGAGGGGCCTCTTACTAAAGTAATTTCACTTCCAAAATGGTGGTGAAGTCATTTAGATCGAGCCTCCAAGCGAAAGAAAGCTACAGTTCTTAATGAAATTTGTTTAGATTTCCTTCTAAATCTAAGTGAAGGTGAGTGCCCACAGAGACACCTCACACACACCCCATCCCACACTCAAAAATTCAGACTATGAAGTAGCTGTGGAGCTGAGCTAAGACAAGGTTACGGTGGCAGAAGTCAAAACCCCAGGGCTGTGACCCGCCTGCCCCTACACTTTAAGCTGCGGGGCAGAAGGCCCCAGCGAAAAGAGCAACAAGCAAACCAATGGCCGTCCAGTTGATTTCAAACCAGAGTCACCCGACACGACAGAGCAGAACTGCCCCACATGGTTTCCTATGCTGCACTCTTCACAGAAGCAAACTACCTCATTTTTCTCCAGGGGAGTGTCTAGGGGATTTGAACTTGAGACCTTTTGGTTAGTAGTCAAGTGCTTTAACCACTGTACCCCCTAAAGGTGACGTTTAAGGAAACCAGCCTTGGATGTAATTGCAGCCTCTCTGGGTGATCCTGAATGCTATTCCAGAGAGAGTGATTCACCAAAGTGATTGTACCATACTGAATGTTCTCTGGAAATCAGTAACCCCATCCTAGAATTCGACAAGTCCTTTTTTTAGAATGACCAGCATACAGTCAGAAATATTAGCACACTGAAGGAAACAAGAGGTTAGGATAGAGCTACATAGAAACCAAAGATAACAAAAAACAGGCTCACAGAGACTTGAGATACTGGATTTATCAGATAGACACATATCAGAAAATGACTATTCTTATTATGTCCAAAGAGATGACAGATGAGCTCAACAATTTTGACCAAAAAATAAAGCTACAGAACATTTTGAAAACAAACAAAAA